CCCAGGTGAGCGTCATTGTTCTGTACCACACACGAAGTGACAACTGGACGATACCCATCCTGGGTGAGGATCCATGCTTCGCATGCCCGCCCAGCACTCGGGACCCAGTGGGTTGAAGCCACCTGTGATTGGGCATGGGCCCTGCGCGCCCAGACAGGCTCCCGGGGATCTCCAGGCCTCCCTGCTACATGGGAGGATGGCAGCTCGGAGGGAGCAGAAAAACCAGTTTGAGAAATGCCGGCAGCCGACTCAGGAAGAGACTGAGCCCCACAACTCCCAGGGCGAGGTGTCCCGGGTGTGGACGCCTGTCACCCAGGTGCGGCTGAACACCTCATCTTTTCACATTGCTTCCCGAACTGTGGATTGAACTTGGGTCTTTGCACTTGTGAGGCAGGCGGCGGAACCACTGGGCTACTTCCCTGGCCCCCTGCTCTGCTTCTGATTCATGCTTTCGTTGGGTGTTGCCATGGAACATGGGATAAAAGTTCACACAGGAATTACACCGCTCTCCAAGATCTGCAGACTGGAGTTGTAAAACCGTTGTTCCTGGCTGCTTGCTTCATGAGGGGCTGTGTGGCAGAGAAGGCAGCTCCTGCACCATGTCTCTGCCACAGAATTGGGGCTCCAGAGCCTTTGTCTTCTAATCCTTTTATATGAAGACAAGCAGAGACCGGAGGGCAACTACCACTCGCCCACATAGCTTGTTGGTGGCAAAGCCAGGATTCACTTCCAGAGGCAGAAATCCACACTCTCTGCCAGTGACACCACTTTCATTTGTTAACGTGTTTGTTTCAAGTGCCCCCAAGGGAGGAAGGGTTGGAAATATAGAGCAAGAACAGAAAAAAGAAGAAACATTTTTAAGAAGAAATCTGGAGGAAGAAAACTAGGAAATAAATAGGCTCATGGCATCAGGAAGGGAAAGTACACCACATAGGTGTCCCAGGGCTCCGAGGACGGCCACGCGGGGCCCACCGGTGTCCAGCTGTGAGTCCCTGTCCTGACCGTCATGGCCCCAGGCAACTTCCTGGAGTGACCCACCGACCGGCCTGCAGCGTGCTGTTAGCTCCCCCGGGCCAACCCCGCCTCCAGGGCGGCCTCTCTTCCACCCGTCCTTCTCCGAAGGGGCAGCAGGGCCAAACTCCCACTGCGTCCAAGTCACCCAGCGTCGGAATCGGGACGGAAACCCGCTTACTGACCCATCACCTGCGTCAGCCCAGCCAGCCGCGGTGGCCCTGCCTCCTCCTGTGGCTGCAGCCCTTCCCACGCCGCTCAGCACAGCACCCTCCGAGGTGGCCCTGCAAGCACGGGGCGTGGTCCCACCGTGTCACACGCGTGGCTTCCCCTTTAGTGCCCGCTGTGTTACCTCAGGATTCTCGAGAAGCAGGCCTGAGCGGAGGGCCCAAGAGAAGTTGCCCTGAGACACTCGGCCCGCGGCGGGCGGCACACACTGTGCAGGGCTACCCAGCACCGGCTCGGCTGAGCACTCGGGCGCGCCGCTTAGAAAGTCTTGAATAACTGAGGGCCAGTTCTCTTCTCACTCCGCCTCGGCCTCACAGATCCCGCTGCAGGTCCGGCCAGGACACAGCCCCAGGAAGGACCGACAGGGAAACCGGAAGTACAACTGCAGAGGATGACACATCACACAAAGGTGGTGGAGAAAGGGAGGATCTGGGCCCAGCAGTGCAAGGAGCTCTGTGGACAGCGGAGCGGGAGCCGAGCGAGGTCCCCGGCCAAAGGCTGGCGTGAGGGAGGGGACCCTCAGTGTCAGGCCCTTCCGGCTGCCCTCACCCCGCACCTGCAGGTGGCCCTCCATGCCACGCAGGTGTGACAGGCCGCGAGCACACCTGGAGCCGGGTGCCCCAAACCCGGAGAAGGACCCGGGAGCCCAAGGCCCAGCGACGGAATCCTGGACGCGAGTGTGGAGTCAGAGACACCAGGGAAGGGTTGTGAGAAGGGACCACAGTGAATCCCCCCAAAACGACGACGGGAGGCAGGAGAAGGAGTCCAGCACCGAAGAGGTGACGAGACCCGCGGTGCGGGTGCAGCACGAAAGGACCCGAGTGCTGGGCTGTCCGGCCTGTGCCTTCCGCAGGCGCCCTGGGGTGCCCGAGACCGGGAGGCTTCAGCGCCTGCGGCAGCACCTGCCCGCAGGAAGTCCTGCTTAAAGATCAGCTCCTGTTCTCCGGCCAGGCTGGGCTCCCCGCCCGGAGCTGAGTCCTCTGGTGCCCGGACGATCGCTCTGCCCGCCCGGCTGCTCTGCCTCTCGGTGCCCTCGCAGCTCCCCACGTGGCGCACTTTCCCTGCAGCTGCAGCACTGTTACAGACGGGAGAATGACAGGAAAGCACCTGTATTTGTTCAGTACAAGCTTACTTTTTTCAACATTATTTTCCACCTGCTACTGGCTGGACGTGAAGGTTCCGAACCCAGGATCCGCAGACAGGACACGGGCCACCCATGTCTTATTTTCAGCTGCTTGTAGGCCACGACTTTCACGCAAGGTCAATTCAGAATGGACCGTGGAGAAATGAAATAGAGAACAGACGTACAAAAGCAAAGGCCACCGTCCCATAGTCCAGACCCAGCCCCGTGACTGACAGCTGTGGGAGTTTCAGATCCCGGCCGCCGGAAGTGCCCCCACTACTGAGATTCCGGTTCTTCCACTTTCCTTGCTCTCCCTGGAGTTTCTCCAGAGCAATTCCGCGGGCTTGGGTGACCCCCATCACCTTCAGCACCATGCTGACCCCGAACTGCTCAAGGCAGTTTGTTGAATGACTTATGAATAGTGTGAGGCCCTGGAAGTAAGAGTTACTCCTCTGTCTAACCCAACCCCAAATCCACCCAGAAAAGAGCAACCGAATCCAATTAATTCCTGGGTGTCGGCCAAGTCCTGAGCTCCGGAAACCCCAATCTCCCGGCAGCGGGGCGGTGGTGCTGTGGGGAGCTCCGCGGTTCCGCTGCAGTCGCCTGGCCCGGGGCCACTTGTGGCCCAGGGCGCTTTCAGAGGCGCAGCGACCGTTTTCCTGGGAAATTTCTGAAGTGGAGCCTGATTCCGGCAGGGGCCTGGCTGGACGCCTCCCTGGGGCGGGGCTGGGGGCCTTGAACGCC